TCACTGCTGCTGCCAAACTTAGCCTGGCCCTGGAGGTGCCTGCCCAAACAGCTGCTCTTTGCTCTTTGAGCATGGCATGCCTCAGTTGCAGACAGTTTCCAGCCCTTTGGGAAGAGGGCAGGGATGATTCATCCTTGAGCATCCTTGGCAGCCCCGGCTCTCAGCCTTCCTCAGAAGATGTTTCACAAGAATATTGAAGCAAAGCTGCTGTGCCTCTTGCAGAGTGGAAGGGAGAGGGGATTGAGGGGCTGGATTCACCAGCACACCCCAATATTCTGTCATTAACCACTGCTAGCAGGGAATTCGTGACTATCCTTAGGCTTCTCTTCTTGTTTAATTGGAATACCCCAAGGACTCCCTAATTGTAAAAACCATGGAGCTCATCAGAGTCTGGAAGGAGCCTCTCCATCAGCTGATAGCAACATCCTGGGACAAACAGGGGCCTGGCTGTGGCTTCTGGCACAGAGTGAAACAGCACAGAAGCACCCAGGGGTGGCACAGTCAGAGAGGAGTGGAAAGGTTTTGTCAAATCCAGAACATGTTTTCCTTATTAGAGCCAAGCTTGGGTAGTCAAGATGAGAAAGAGCCTTTAAGAAAAGAATTTAATTTCCTGTGTTGCAGGCTGCTGTATAAGAGGGTGCCTCAGGGGAGCAGAACTTTTCATGAGTGTGTTGTGGATTAGAGCAAGAATTTCTCCCTATACGTGGGCCAGAGGTATAGGAAAGGATCACTGAAGAATTTGGGCTGGAAGGAACCTTAAATCTCACCCAGCTCCACCCTCTGCCATGACAGGGACACCTTCCACTGTCCCAGGCTGCTCCCAGCCCTGTCCAGCCTGGCCTTGGGCACTGCCAGGGATCCAGGGGCAGCCACAGCTGCTCTGGGAATTCCAGCCCAGCCAGGAATTCCTTCCCAATATCCCATCCAGCCCTGCCCTCTGGCACTGGGAGCCATTCCCTGTGTCCTGTCCCCCCATCCCTTGTCCCCAGTCCCTCTCCAGCTCTCCTGGAGCCCCTTCAGGCTCTCCAGGGGCTCTGAGCTCTCCCTGGAGCCTTCTCCTCTCCAGGTGAGCACCCCCAGCCTGGCTCCAAAGCTGCTCTTTCATCACTTTTGTGGCCTCCTTTTGACTTATTCCAACAGCTCCACATCCTTTTTTATGCTGGTGGCCCCCGAGCTGAGCACTCCAGGCACCCAGAAAAACATAAAAGCATCAAATCAGGGCACAAGAGACCTTAGGGGGGACAGAGCACTGGCTGGGAGTGAGGCTGTGGCTGGGAGGGTATTTCAATTCAGCAGCTGCAAGATGCAATTCCCCTCCCTGGGGCATCTCCCTCCAGCACCAGCTTCTGTCTGGGCAGGGAGTTGGAGGCACTGGGAGCTTGGCTTGGGCAGGGTTTTCATCCCCAGCAGGTCCTGAAGCCACTCCCTGCATGGCTCTGACACTGCCAGTGACACACAGGGGCCCCAGAAAAACCAGCCAGGAGTGTGAGGGAAGGGGCAGCAGCAGGAATGTGGTGGCTGTTCTACATTTATATCTATTTCTATTTCTATTTCTATTTCTATTTCTATTTCTATTTCTATTTCTATTTCTATTTCTATTTAATATATTTCTTGTATTTATGTTTACTTATGCTTTATATTTTTACCTATATTTATATTTTATATAGATATTTAGATATTTATATTTCATAACAGTGACATGAAGTCGTGACCCCAGGGAACTTGAGTTTCTCTGAGCCACAGATTTGCTGCATGACCTCAAACAAGTTTTGTTAAACCTCCTCTTGTTTCTCAGTTCCCCACTTCACATCAAGGGACATTTGTCCCCTCTACCAGGGTAGCTGTGATTATTTAATTCATTAGGGGAGTGCCATGTAAAGTACATCAATGTAAACTAAAATACACAGAATGGGGTTTGCCCATTTCCTTTAATTTTTGAGAACAGAGTAAGTAGACGAAATCTTGTGCCCTTCAAAACCAAACAGAATCTTTCTTTGTGTAAAATGTTACATAAACCTTAGAGGTTGTTCATTTTTATTGTATTATTTTAATAATTCTGCAAATATTTCAGAAAAGGGCAGTTTGTTCCTACTGCATAAAAAAATCATCACCACAGAGCTGGGTTTTTTACATTTCCCCCTCATATAATTTCAAAAAAAAACCCCCAAACACAATAAAGAAATTTACCCTCCCACTTCCCTCCCCACAAAAAGAAAAAAAAAAAAATGTGTTTTTTTTTTTTTAATCAGTAAGGTGTTAAAGAAGTCCGATATTAGGAGCACACAGAGCACAGCACATCAGTAACGCTGGGGAGGCTTTAGACCACGCCAAGCCCTGCACAGAGCACAGTGAAATGTTCACAGCAGCAGCTCCTGACCCAGCACAGCCTTCCTGGAGGGGCTGGCACAGGCACAGAGCCCAGGGGAGCTGCACAAGCCCCAGGACTCCTGCTTGTCCACAGCAGCGTTTATCCTCAGCCCAATGATGCCTTAGGATTTAACTTTTAGAGTTTTCAATTCCTGTTCTACACTGGTGCATAACTCTAAACTCCATTGCCTGTTAGTTACTGTCTTCACATTTTATTCACACACAATTCCTCTCCAGGAATCTCAAGGACAGCTCACTGCCTCAGGCCCCAAAAAGTGCAAACAAAAATGAATTTGGGGGAGCAAACTGGGGGTAAATGACTTCATGACTGCCCTGATATGTAAATGGACCAAACTTATAATTGTGTGATAAACTCGTGACCATTGTCCCCCCTGGGTGCAGCCTCTGGGAGGCTCTGCCTGCCCAAGCTGTGCCTATGGAAGGCTCCAATAAATCCCCACTTTATTCTCTTAGCCTTGTCTGCTCTCTGCTCTGTGGAGCCTCTCCCAGGCAGCAGCAGTCTCCTGTCCCATCTGGGGTGCCAAAATCCCCGAGGCATCACCAACGGCTGCCATGGCCTGTGTGGGGTCACTGTGTGCCCATGGATGGCCCAGGAGCAGGGGCTGCACCTCGTGGATCCTCAGGATCCTGATTGTGCAGGGAATGGCACTGAAACCCAGACCAGGCACAACCTAAACGGCCTCAGGAGTCTTAAAATTAGGGCCAAGGACAACCTAAAAGTCCTCAGGTGTCTGAAATCAGGGATAAGCACATCCTAAAGGTTCTTAGGATCCCTGAAATCCGGGCCAAGCACAACCTAAAGGTTCTCAGGAGTCTGAAATCAGGGCTAAGCACATCCTAAAGGTTCTTAGGATCCCTGAAATCCGGGCCAAGCACAACCTAAAGGTTCTCAGGAGTCTGAAATCAGGGCTAAGCACAACCTAAGTTGCATCTCCCTGATCATAAAATACCCTCACATTCTCCCTGGCAGGGACAATAACCTCCCCATGGGTGGCTTTGGGGCCTTGGTTCTTCAGTCTGGGTGAGTGGAGAGAAAGCCCAGGAAGGGACACTGGGTCACAAACGTTGCTGACTTGTTGGGACTTCCAAAAATGTGAATTCCTAGATTTTGGAGTGTCAATGTCAATTCAGTTTCTTCATTGCACATAAATCAATGGTTTCAGTTCTGGGAACATTTCTCTCACAGTATCATTTTCCCATGGGAGTGAGTTTTGGCTCCCTCTGAGGGAGGCACAAAATGATGGTTCTGTGCCTTCCTAAATCCAGTTTCTTCCAAATGTCCTACCCCAAGCACCTCACATTGGAAACAGCCAAATAAGACTTAGAGGATTTGAAGTCCTCTGCTAGGCCTCCACCTTACCACACACAAAAGAAACCTCTACAAATAAGATAAAGTAAAAATGAAATGGCTCTATTAGATTTAATGAAGTGACTTGAGACAAAGCAGTATCATAAAAATGCTTTTTTTTAAGAAGTAACAGCAAGAGCTCAGAGAAGTGCTGACCGCAGGTACAGTTTTCAATATTAAGATGGATTTAGTGATTTCCAGGGAAATATTTCCTTGGTTGAAGGTCAGGAGCCATTCCCGTTGGTGACAACTCCAGGTGCTGTGTCTGAGCTCCAGTGGGTTGGAGTTGCAGAGAAGGCAGCAGGTTTTATGACATTTCTTCTGGGCTGTTTCTTGTCTCTCCCTCCAAATCCTGTGCAGTGCAGGATGCTGTTCCTCCACAGGCTTCTCACACAACCATCAAATAACAAAAACAGGCCAAGAAAAAGTTGTCCAGAACAAATTATAGTGTTTGGAGTATTATCAGGTGAAAAACCCACATCCTGAGACAGAGTTTAGGAGTTTTGATACTGGGCCATCTGCACACCTCCTGGAACAACCATCCAGCAGCTGGATCCACGTACAAAACCAGCTTTAAACCCAGGGAGTCAGTCCAGACCAAAGCCTGATGTGGCAAACCCAGCCCTGCTCCCTCTGAGCCCCTTCCCTCAGCACACAGCAATGACCTCCTGGCAGCCCTGCACACATAAAGGACCCTGCCCAACCCTGTGCTACAGAAATGCCTGCTCTGACTGCAGCCAGCCCTCCATGCCATGCACAGCCTGACCTGAGGGGCCTGGAGAGGAGCTTGGAGAGGAACCAGAATGCCCTGAGCTGGAAGGACCATCCAGTCCAGCTCCTGGTCCTGCACAGGAGAGCCCACACCCCAGCCTGTGCCAGCAGAGCAGCTGTGCCATGTGCCACGTGCCACATGCCACGTTCCATGTGCCATGT